TCTCTCTCACTCTCTCTGTCTGTCTGTCTGTCTCTCTACCCACTCTCACCAGTGTCACCTCTCGACAGCCAATGTAACCTGACCGTTGTGGCTCGTGACCCTAAGGCTCAAGTTACAATGGCGTGGCCTGCTCCTCCTGTTATTGATGGAATACATACATACATCGAGACAGAGAGAGAGAGGGAGGGAGGGAGAGAGAGATAGGGAGAGAGAGGGGTGTGTGAGAGAGAGAGAGAGAGAGAGAGAGAGAGAGAGAGAGAGAGAGAGAGAGAGAGAGAGAGAGAGGGGGGGGGGGAGAAGGAGAGAGAAGAGAGAGAGAGAGAGAGAGAGAGAGAGAGAGAGAGAGAGAGAGAGAGAGAAATAGATGAGGGGGAGAGCGAGAGAGAGAGAGAGAGAGAAAGAGAGAGAGAGTGCGACAGAGAGAGACAGAGAGAAAGAAAGAAAGAAAGAAAGAGAAAGAGAGAGAGAGGAATAATTGAACAAAATAAAACAATTAGACCCAATTTAGATAAGCAGAATCATGTGGGAGGATGCAGGGTGCTTTTTACTAGCATGTTGGCATGTTGTGCCCGCATGGAGGAGGCAGGGCGAGAGCGGTGGTTGTGGCAGTGTTGGTTTTGGGTTTGGCTTCATTGACTTCATTTATCTGAGTCATGCATAGGCCTATGTAAAAATAATTGGATTTTTTTTTCTGTGGCTGTTTGTGGGTATGTTTCCATGTTGTTGCTTTTTCTCTCTCTTTCTCTTTCCATCTCTTTCTGTTTCTTTCTTTCTTTTTCTCTCTCTCTCGCTCGCTCTCTCTCTCTCTCTCTCTCTCTCTCTCTCTCTCTCTCTCTCTCTCTCTCTCTCTCTCTCTCTCTCTCTCTCTCGCTCTTTCTTTCTAATTCTCCTTCTCACTCCCTTATTTCTCTCCATGTGCGTTCGTACACGTACATGTATGTGATTGTTTAAACATCTATTTCTCTCTCCATCTTTTTATACCCACATATATTTTCCTTTTTTTTATTATCAGTCCATTAATTTATATGCATCTCTGGTTTATTTACCTTTTTATTGCCTTTTATTCTATTGTCTGTCAAGAAAGACACACAGTGCATCCTCAAGCAACTGTCTCATAATCTCCCTTCCCCTCCCCCTCCCTCCCTCCCTTTCTCCTATCCTCCCTCCCTCCCTCCCTTTCGTCCTTCCTCCTTCCTTCCTTCCTTCCTTCCTTCCTTCCTTCCTTCCCTCCACCCTCCTCCTTCCTTCCTCTCCCTCCCTCCCTCCCTCCCTTCATCCCTTCCTTCCTTCCCCTCCTCCCTGTCTCTCCCCCTCCTCCCTCCCTCTCTCCTTCTCCCCCACCACTTCCCTCCTTTCCCTCCCTCCCTTTCTCCCTCCTCCCTCCCTCCCTCTCCCCACCACTTCCCTCCTACCTACCCCCCCCCCTCCCGCCTGCCCGATGCACCTGCAGATCGAGACCGAGTGTGGCAGGTGTCGCTTACCCACTCCCCCCCTCCCCCCCCTACCCCTCCCTTTCCCTTGCCCTCCTACCCCCCCCCCCCTCCCTCCTTGCTGCGTCTGATGTTTCTTCGCTTCTGTCTCTATCCCTTCTATTCTTCTGTCTGTTCTTTATACTTATTCCTCTACCTTGCTATGCCTTGCCTTACCTTTCTCCTCCCCTTCTTACCTTCCCCTTCTTTCTTTCCCCTATTCCCTCCCTCTACTCTTCCTCCTACTCCCTCCCTTTCTTCCCCTTCTTCCTCTACCCTCCCCTGCTTCCCCTTCCCTTTTTCCCTTCTTTCTTTTCTCCCTTTTACTCCCCTCCCCTCCCCTCCCCTTCTTCCCCTCTCTCCCCCCTCTCCCCTCCCCCCTCCTACTCCCTCCCCTTCTTCCCCTCTCTCCCCCCTCCCCCTCCTACTCCCTCCCCTTCTTCCCCTTCTCTTATTCCCTTCCTTCTTTTCTCCCTTTTACTCCCTTCCCCTCCCCTCCCGTCCTTCCCCTCCCCCTCCCCCCTCCCCCTCCGTGTGAATAAACCCGGGATGATCTGCTCTTTGTGCTTGTATGCAGACGACCTTGGCATGGAGGGGGGCGGGGTGGGGGGGATGGGTAGGGGGCGGCGGGGCACGGAGGGCGGAGAGGGGGAGGGGGGCGTGGGCGGAGAAGGGAGGGGAGGGGAAGGGAGGGAGAGGGGAGGGGGCGGAGGGGGAAGGGGAGGGGGGAGTGGGCGGAGAAGGCAGGGGAGGGGGAAGGGAGTGGGGAGTGGGCGGAGAGGGGAGGAGGGGGAGGGGAGGGGGAGGGGAGGGAGCAAGGAGGGGTAGGGTAAGGGGTATCGGGGCACAAAAGGGGCAGGTTTGGGGGGGGGAAGGGATGGAGGGGAGAAGGGGCGGAGGGATAGGTGGATGGAAGGGGGAGGAGGGGAAGTGGGGCATGGGGGGGAGGGGGGGAGGGGAGGAGCAACGGGGATCCACTGCAGCGCCAACAGCAAGGTCAGCGGCGGGGGCAGGGTGGACGCCGTACCTTGAGCGCTAAGGTCGTGGCCGCCGCCGCTGCAAGGTCCAAGGTCGTCGTGTGTAAAGGGGGGGGGGGGGTGCGTGTGTGTGTGTGTGTGTGCGTGTGCGTGTGTGTGTGTGTAAGGGAGTGGATGTGTTTGTGTGTGTGTGTGTGTGCGTGTGTGTCTGTATGTGTCTGTGTGTGTTTACATTGATAAGCACATAGAAAACAAAACAAAACAAAACAAAAAAAAACGGACCAAAATAAGACATAACCTCACAAAAAATACATATCAAACAGTTCTCATCAAAACAAAAACACACAAAAAAAAACGAGAGAGAAAAACATCAACAACAATCACCGAAAAAACAACCAAACCTCAAGAAAGACAAGAAAGACACGACAAATAAATAAATAAATAATAAATGATGAATAAATAGAATAAATAAATAATAAATGATGAATAAATAGAATAAATAAATAATAAATGATGAATAAATAGAATAAATAAATAATAAATGATGAATAAATAGAATAAATAAATAATAATAAAAAACCCATTATCGCTTCTACGCTGTTCCCTACCACGGACGGCGGGGCTGTCAAGGACCCT